TATAATGAGTGTTACCAAAATGGTAACTAAATAAACATAAAAATTAAGATGTATTATTTAAATCCTAAACAGAAATCTGACAATTTTAGGCTTATTTTAATTTCATTAACTTGTTTTGAAAGAAATGTACTATCATCCGTGTTAACTTGTAGATAAAATAAATTTATCACACTTTTTAACCAGTATTACCTTTAATTATACTGGTTCTTATTGCACTATCATTCACTTAGAACAACTGTAATCAGCAGCAGCCATGACAGTATATCCCAACTATCTAACTCACCTCCTCAGTGTACATCAAACTCTCATGCCCACTAACTATAATAGCTATTCGTATGAGCACTGTGGAATTAAAAAACAAAACAAAAATCATAATTCTCATAGAACTTATTTTTTTTACAGAAAAACAAGGTATTAAATTTTGAGAGTAGCCTGAAATAACAGGAAAGTCAGAAATGTGATGAGAAACATTTAATAGTGAAAAGAAACCAATGTAAAACATGGATTTTATTCAGACTGTTTCTTTAGTTAGATGTGAGAATTGGGGAAAATATTTAAATTTTGAAAACCCCAACTCCTTACCTGTAAAACAAAGGTTTTGAATTTGATCATCTCCAAAGTCTCTCTTAGCAATAAAATTCTATGGTTCCAAGAGCAATTAGGCCAAAAGAAATAAAAGAGATATCCAAGCTGAAAAGAAAGAAGTAAACTTATCTCTGTTTACAGATGATTTGATCTTATATGTAGAAAACCATAAGAATTCTGGAAAAAAAACTTAAAAACTTATACATGAATTCAGCAAAGTACAAGAAAATAAAATCAACACACAAAATCCCTTGTATTTCTACACACTACCAATGAACAAATTGAAAGGGAAATTAAGAAAACAATTTCATTTACAATAGCAACAAAAAGTATACAATACTCAGGAATTAACTTAACCAAGCAGATGAAAGAATTTTACAATGAAAGGTACAATGAAAGAAATGAAATAAGTCACAAATGAATAGAAACACATTCATATTCATGGATTGGAAGACTTAATATTGTTAAGATGTCAATACTATTTTAAAACAAGTGAAATAAGCCAGTCATAAAAAGACAAGTAATGATCCTGCTTATATGAAGTATCTAGAGTAGTAAAAATCACATATATATAAAGTAGAATGGTAATTGCCAGGGACTGGGGGTGGGATGGGAATGGGTTGTTGAATGTGTATAGGTTTTCTGTTTTACCAGAGGAAAAGAATTATGAAGCTGGAGGATGATGATTATAGGCACAACATTATGAATATATTTAATTAAAATGATTGAGGATGAAGAAATGAATAAGTAACAGATATGGGTGTATGTGTCTATGTCTTTAGCATTCATCCTTCCTATTTCTTTTCCCCCTGTCTTCCTGACTTCTAGGATTCACTGTTCAGTATGAGCCGACAGGGGCTCTCCAAGGTTGGTTTTGTTGCTAAAACCTGGTTCTTTCATTTAAGAGAGAGAGAGAGAAAAAAAAAATATGAAAAGAGACCAATACATATATACCTACACACACACACACACACACACACACACACACACACACACATATAACTGGGGATTAAACTGAATGTAGGATCTACATTCCTAGTTCTTTTTAAAATTTTTCTGTTTTGATTTTGTGATAGGGCCTTGCTAAGTTGCTGAGGTTGGCCTCAAATTTGTGATCTTGTCTCAGCCTCCTGAATCCCTAGGATTTTAAGTGTGTACCATGCCTGTCTTCTTCATTCAAATAGTTTATGAAATCCTATATATTCAATTCTTGAAGAATACACAAACCACTAACTGCAGATCTAACCTACCTAAATCTGCTGCCTAAACTTAAAACCACATCTTTTTCTATCTCTATATAACTAAAATACTTTGCCCCAAATATGATATAAATTTACTCAAATTAATAAAAGATGTTTTAGTTTATTATAAAATGTTTGTCAAGAAATTTGTCAGAAAAACAAAACATTGAGAGAAAACAAAACAGGAAACAAATTTCCATAAACAGATGTATTCATTAAAAAGTTTAAAAAATATTACATAATAGTCCAATGAAAAAGCAACATGAGTTACATGTAAATTTTTTATACTTCAGTACTAATGATTTTGATGCATTATTGTGACTAGAAGAGCCTCTGTTTCCAAATCTGCATATAGATGTAGAAAACATTATATACTTTTATATGAGTGGTTGTTTATAAAGTCATAAATTTGAAAAAATTCAAAAGCATTGTGAGCAAAGAAAAGAGGAATGTTTTGGTAATTCAATGTTGTATATATAGTGTGAAATGAAGAAAATATTTTTAATCTAGCAAAAACATAGTAAATACACAAAACTGATCCTCACTAAACTGATCATATGTTAAAAAATTATGATGAACATTTTGGATTACCTGGAAGTTATTACTGTAAAATATTTTTTTGGATGGAAACATTTAAACTGTATTATTTTCTCAAGATTCTGTTTAAAATTGTGCAGGCATCTAAAGGACCCAACATTATATCTGTAAAGTAACTTCAACCTACTATAAATAAATTATGTTAACCTGATAGAGAGCAAAGATTTAAAAGCCAAATTTATAATCTGCAAATTGCCATATTCAAATTGGTGGTAAGCACATGAGGTTTGAGAGACAAAAAATAATATTTTACTAACAGATAAGAATTTACAATATCCTTCAAACCTGAAGAAAGCATAATCAATCTGACATTGGGTCATAGCCAAAAGGTGGACATAATAAAGTCTGAAGCCTATATCTTTCATTTCCAACAAACTTATATGATTTACTAACAAATTGTGCTTAGGATGCTATGTGCAGCCCCATAACACAGGAAGAGGGTGATACCTACCACCTAAAGACACTTAAAACATCCAAAATGCATTTTCTTTTCTTTTTTTTTTTTTTGGAGGCGGGGGTTCTAGGGATTGAATACAGGGTCTCACTCATGCTGGCAAAGAGTTCTACCATTAAACTCTATCCACAGCTCTTTTCATTTTTTTAAACAGTCTCCCTAAATTGTAATCCTCCTGCCTCAGCCTCTGAATTAGCTAGCATTAAAGGCATGAGCCACCATACCTGGCCGAAATAAATTTCTAAGACAAACCTCTCCCAATACAAAGGCTGTCAGTGATCAACGTTCTCTCTATATTTATTCCTAGCCCCTTCCTGATCCCTTACGACCTTAAAAGCCATCTTTGCTCATGTTTATTTTGAGCCAATTTCAACCATACAAAAAGGGCAGTGGGTAAGATACACACAATCTCCTGTAGGTATATGCTCTGCTTATGTAGACCCTAAACACAAAGATCCTCTCACACATATCATCTCTCAAAGTATTCCAAGAAAAATATAAAGTATGCCTCTTTAGATAATTAGTATGAAAAAAGATAAAAACTTTTTCCAAGAGAGATAATATTAGTACAACTTTGTTTATTTCTTTACAATCTGAAATTTTCCTTGTCAGACTACATTTCTCTTGGACACATTTTTTGCTCAGTTATTCTTATCTATTAATTCCTGAAAGTTACCAGCCAGGGTATCTATGTTAGGCAGTCTCTAAAAGGGCACCCAGTGATCCCTGTCTTAGGGATTCATGTACTTGTGTAATCCCTTCCCTCTCCATTTTGGGTGGTACTTAATGGCTCACTCCTAACAAATCAAAATGGCAATAGTGACAGGAATACCACTTCTGAGATTAGGTTATAAAAGACTACAACCTTCTGTTTTGGATGCTCTCTCTATTGTTTACCCTGGGGGAAGCCAGCTGCCACATTATGTGAGGCAGCCTTTTGAAGACATTCATGAAGTGGGGAACTTAGATTTGCCAAGATCCACATAAATGCACTTGGAAGTGGAGTCTTCTTCACCTCAGAGGAGCCTTCAGATGAGATCATAACCCCTAATTACAGCTTRATGGAACCTCATAAAACAACCTGAGCCAGAGGCTCTCTGTTAAGCTGTGTCCTAATTCCTGAGGCACAGAAACTGAGATAATAGATGTTTGTTGTTTTAAGCTGGGGTAAATAAGGGTCATAGTTTGTTACTCAGCAATAGATAACAAAGTACCTCATCAAACAAATTGTCAGGTTAACTAGACAAAAATGAAATTTTATGAATCAACCTGAAAAATATAACAAAACTTGTTTATTCTTCATTCTGAAACCTGACATATTTGTAAGTCATTTTTATGGAGGGGTGATCTCTTATCTTAGAAACATAGTTACCACACTCCAAACATTAAAAGAAGAGGAAGAAATGCTGAGATGGAAAACAAATTGGCTTCACTTGCAATAAAAGGTCATGATTAATTAACCCAGGGAGAAACACCTAGAATCCTTAAAAATAAAAACTATAGTTGTAAAACAAGTAGACTCAATTATTAGACACACAGAACCTAAAATAAAACCAAAAAAGTCAAATGACAGAGAATTGGAATTCTTTCATGTAATTTTGTCCAATTAATAATATTTATTATGTATCATGTGAGAGATTAGAGCCCAGTTACAACAAAACAAAAAAAGACGAATTAAAACCTTAACAAATTTTATACCAAAATTTGCTTGCTGTAACGTTAACTGCAATTGCATTCATAAAAGAACCAAAAAATGTGGTAAGGCACCCAAATAACACCTAAAAGCAACACCTGGGCTTAAATAAAGTAACCCTTGCTGTTTCTCGGTTTTATTTTGAAATGAGGCTGGGTCACCAACTAGGGTCCCAAGCTGACCTATACCCCAATGGCCTAGAAACAGAAGGAACGCCCATTCCCGCCTTATGGCACTGATTCTTCACTTTAATAAGCCATCACTGCTGTCACTCAAGATACATTACACTGTCATTGGTCGTAAACTCTTAGAGATCGGCCAATTTCTGCCAACTGGCAAGCACTGGCTGTCTTTATTTCAGTGAAGAAAAGTGAGGATAAACAGGCAAAAGAGATAAATAGATATAAAATATCTAGGCTGATGCTAGTACCTGAGCGACCTGCGATCTCCACCGCCGCCGCGACGAATCGGCCTCTGGGCGGGGGCTTTAAGCCAAAATGAAAATGGCTCAGCCAGGAACTGATGCCCAGGCCATGGAGAAGTGTGTCCAAACTTTACTAGTTCACGCCGGTGAAGATGACGGTGCCGAGAGTATCAGAAACAGCCCTACACCCGTGTGAACTCGGAGCACCTCAAGCTGCAGAAGCCAGAGCTGCCGACTGTCCCAGTTTTGACGTTTCCTATTGTTGCCGGAAGTGACGTTCGGGTTCTGACCCTTAAAGAAGAATCATTTTAATTCCCGTTGTTTATGATTCGCTACAGATTCCTTGTTTCTTGCTTCTTAGTCCGAGCTATTCTGACCTTTTAAATTATACTGATTAATAATCTGCAAATTAATATCGCATTGGCCATTGAGGAGGCCTTCTGCAGAGTCAAGTTACCTCAGAGTCTGGACGAACGGGCCATGGAATCTGCAGCGAGGAATCCTAGAGCGCCAAGGAGCCCGCCGCTTTGAAGATCTTGCCGCGGTGCGCGGCGGGCTCGAACTTGTTCTTCCAACACAAACGGTCAGCGCGAGAAGCGCGCTGGGGCTCCAGCTCTGGCCTTGAGGGAGTACCTGCTGGAGACTAGTTCCGGTGATGAGCTCCGGTTACAGATGCCTTTTCTCCCCTTCTTGTCCTGCTGGGCTAGAGGTCTTCTTTGCTCGGGGGCTGCCGGGTGAGCCCGAGGGAGCCTGCGGGGCTGCGCACTAGTTTGGACAGAGGTCGCCTCTCTCTGCTTTCCTCACTGAGACCCGGGGTGGAGGCGAAAGAGCAGGTCTGTCTCTTCACCCTTTTAACTTAAATTACGGAAGGGGAATCCCGAATGTACCTTGCCCGTATACTCGCCTGGTGTATGCTTTTAATAGCCACGAGGTAGAAAACATCGTAGCTGCTTAATCAGATTTAGGCTGTGGCTAAGGATAGAGAAGTTACAATCTTGAGATCAGGGTAAGGGATGGATTCCTAGTGGATACTCTGAGCTGAGGATGCATCGGGCTCCTCTAAAATACTGATGGGAAGGAAGAGTTGAAAGTAATTGTTTTTTCCTTACTTGCGTTTTCCAGGTGTTTAAAATATTTCTCCATCTTAAGAATTACAGATTTCCCTCTCACTATAAAAAGAACTGTCTTGAATTTTAATTCTTTTTTTATATTCTGTAATTGGGGTGTCGTAGAATATTTTTCCAGAATTATTCGTAAACCTTTACACAGTTATTCCCTTTCCCCCCAGTTTCCTCAATGCTTTCCCTTCCTTAAACTTTTCTCCATATCACTTAGAACAGTATTTCCTTAATATCTTTTGTGGAAATTTTCACAAATTTAATTTTTTCTCATCTTTATTCCTCTTGTTTTTGACGCATGGTTTTTAGATAATATAAATCGTTGGATCTATGCCACAAACTCTTTAAACATCCACACTAATTTATACAATTTAGTTGTTTGATTCTAACAAAAATCACTTTTGAGTCCTGTGATGTCCCATTGGGAGGCATCATTTTAATGATCTTAAAATGCTAGGTGATTGAGCTACATTAAAAATCTTAAATATTTTACTTAATAGTATATTTTACTTAATAGTATATATTGTTTTATGCCTTTCTCATCAATTCACTCGGACAGATTTGACTTGTAGACAGAACTCTAGGGGAAGCTAGCCAGCAATATTGAGACCTTAATGACTGAATCTGTGCTACAAGCTGAGTATTGCCTCCTTTGAATTTTCTTTGACAAGGGTAATCAGGTGAAAATGTTAATCACATTTTTTAAAGTAAAAAATTAATTTTCGTTTCCAAAAGTACTCTGTTAAAATATGCATAAGTAATAGATTAGCTTCTTTTAATATCTTAATTTTAGTGTCCCCCCCCCYTTTTTTTAGCAAAGCCCTTCATGGAAATGTACAGCAGGAGCTGTAAATTTTTTCTGTAATACTCAAATTTTTTAAATTTCTTCATTTTTACTATTCTGTCTTATCACTTATCTCCTTCACCTACAGATCCAAGCTGTACTTGTATCTTACTCTTCTTCAAAATATGTATTCTACTGGTACTGAAGAGGATGTGTTCCAGGGACATACTTTGTTGTCAGAAATTCCATTACCAGAGGTAGAAATAATGTAAGAGACATGGAAATGTGTTTCAGGACTTCAGAAAAAGGAAAGATACCACAAAATTGCATGTACTGGGATGATGAGATATACATTTGGAGGGACTAAACGAAATCTGTGGGAGAGATACCTTTTACATTAAAGTTAGAGAATGTCTTTCAATAAGAAAGTACCCGAGAAGAATTTTACGAAGTTAGATAGGTCTGGAACCTGAAAAAGTTTCAGACATATGAAATTGTTCAGTGACAGAATCCAAGAAAAAAATTTTTTGACAGTTACAACCAGATTAGTTTCCATTTCATTTTTTCTTAGCTAAGTAAAGGCTGATCTTGGGAAAACTGTTTCCATATGTCCATCTACACCCATGCCTCCTATAAGATGTTAGCTAAAGCTTACCTTCTTGACCAGTATTTTGTATAATTTGATTTTGAGATTGGTTATTTCCCATTTGACTATAACCGAAATTCCCTTTGCCTACAAATGTAAATTTGTTTAGGTGGTATAATTGAGAGGCTGAAAATAGTGACTGAAGTGATCATGGAAGAATGGTAAACAATTATTCAAGAACCTATTCTTCACCATGTTGATAAAGGAGAACAGGCTAAAAATAGGACAGTAGTTTTCCTCAAGAGAGGGAATAGTTGCTCTACCCTGGAGAAATGGCTACAGAAATGGGTGGCAAGGGTCTTAACATAGAAAGCTTACTAAATTTAGGATTTTGCAAATTGGTAGCCTTAATACCTCTTTATGTATAGATTCAGACAAGATGTGTAAGGGAATGATTTATATTCTGATTGCTACTGAAATATAGACTAGGGGGGAAAAGATCACACCAACTACTTCACCCAATTTATGAATTATTCTGTTTTGTTTTGTTTTTAATGTCAATGACTTCATTTTAAAGGAGCTTCATTCTCAGAAGATTCATTAATCAAGGTATTGTTATGTATTATTTTCCTTTTATGAAGTGTCAATGAATAGTCGTAGATATTTTTAAATATGTTTTTGAATTTTGCCTTATTGATTAAATTTGTGATTCAAAACCTGTTTATCTCCATCATGCAAAAGTTCTTAACAAATTATCTATGTGTTTATTTTATGAACCTCCTTTGGAAACAACCCCCTTTGGGAATTTTGTAGTCCATTCAGTAAAATGAGTCATTTAGAAATAAGTTTCATGGTATTAATTTGGGAGAGGGGATTTTTTTTAAATGATCTTTTACAAAAAATCTCAAAGATCATGCATGTTTGTATGTTTGGGTATTTCTGTTATGTACAGTTTTCAGAGTCACTTCTCTTTCATAGATCCCTATGTACATCAGCTTTAGAAGATATCAACAATAAATTTTACAAAGTAATTGTACTGATTTACTTTTTTCACATCATTGTGTTAAGAGTTTCACATGTACTATCGACTCATATTTTGGATTTACTTCATAATTTCCTAAGGATTAATGAAATCTTTTTACATGTTAGTTCTTGTAGTTTTTGCTGTGATCTCTTGTGCCGAAGCCAAGTGCCAATGTCTCCGCTTGGCACAGAATCACGAGCCACCACACAGCTTTGTAGGTTCAAACAGCAATTCTTTATTCCCGATCTCACACCAGCCTCCACACACGTTCAGGGGCAATTCCAATATGTCTGATCCCAAATCCTACTCCACGAGGCTTTTTTCCAAATCCCATTTTAATCTCAGGAGAACTCAACAAGCCGCAGGAACACCCTAATCCCAGCAGCAACAATCTTCAACCTCAACTTCCCTAAAACTGCTATTATCACGCCCTAAACCCAAGGACGGAGATACTTCCTGCAGGAATACACCCTAATCCTGGATCCACCCTGGTGATTGAGCAGGGTCACCTTTCTCAAACACACAAGCAAGGTCGCAGCAAATTTCCAAGGCAAGTCCATTTAACATGGGGTACACTGGCAAGGATTACAATGCATCAATACCTACTTGGTAATGGCCCTCAGCATCCTTGCCCATTTTTCTATTGAGCATCTTTTTTTTCTCCCCTTATTGTTTTGTAGATTTTTTTTACATGTTCTACATAAGATTATTTTTGTTGGTTATATGTATTGCCAGTATCATCGTCCATTCAATGACCTTTCAGAGTATCTTTTGATGAACAGAAGTTACTAATTTTAATGTGGTTCATTTTATCAGTCATAAGACATCTTTTTCTTCCTGAGATCCTGAAGATATTCTCCTCTGTGATCTTCACAAAGCCTGGTTGTTTGGCCTTTGTATATTGTTCATTATAAGATTTTCTTTATTTCTTTCAAGTTTGGATTATATTGATTGTATTTTATTGAAGTTAGATCTTCAATAAACCCTTTGTGAAGGTTGTAATATAGATTTCAAGATTTCTGTGGATATTTAGTTGATGTATTACCATTGGAAAAGAATATAGTTTTTTCACTGCTACTCACTGTTGTCACTACTATCAATATATATGCTGGTTTTGGACTTGGTTTTGTGTCATTGTTCTGTTTGTACATCTTTTCATGAATTCCAAATTTAATTTCATAAAACATTTTCATAATGAATGATTTAAGTCTTCCAATTTTGATCTTCAAGATTTCTTAGTTATCCTTTAGCTTTTGCATTTCTGTATAAATTTTAGTCAGCTTGTCAATTTTCACCCTCAAAAACCTGTTTTGTGTGTGTGTTTGTTTAGTGATAGTAGGAAAGGATTGTTTTAGTCAGATTTTTTGCTTTTGTGACTAAAGGATCTGACCAGAACAATTTTAGGAGGAAAAGTTTATTTGAGGGCTCATGGTTTCAGAGGTCTTAGTCCATAGAAGGCTGGCTCTATTCCTTTGGGCTTCAGGTGAGGCTGAACATCATGGTAGAAGAGTGTGGCAAAGGGAGGCAACTCACATGGCAATCAGAAAGCAGAGAGAGACTCCACTTGCCAGATAAAAATATATACCCCATAGCCAAGCCCCCAATGAATCACTTCTTCCAGCCACAGCTCACCTGCCTCCAGTTACCACTCAGTTAATTCCATCAGGGATTAATTCACTGATTAGGTTAAGGCTATGGCCCAATCATTTCTCTTCCAAAGCTTATATTGTCTCGCATGTG